CCAATCAGGTAGCGCTTCCTTTAGGAATATTAACGAGCAAGTCCCTGACATCCTACTCACTGCCCAATCAGGTAGCGCTTCCTTTAGGAATATTAACGAGCAAGTCCCTGACATCGAACTCACTGCCCAATCAGGTAGCGCTTCCTTTAGGAATATTAACGAGCAAGTCCCTGACATCGAACTCACTGCCCAATCAGGTAGCACTTCCCTTGGGAATATTAATGAGCAGGTCCCTCCTGTCATATTTATTGGCCAATCATGTAGCCCCTTATTTGGGAATATTAATGAGCCATCCTACTCCCTGCCCAATCAGGTAGCACTTCCTTTATGAATATCCTGCGTTTTGGGAAATCCGTGGCCGGTTGCCCCTCTTTAGAACCACACAAGCGTTTATACAGACCATCACACCACTGACCTCGTTTCCATGCGATCTTCTCACACCGCGGTTGCCAGGGGAGACACTTATTAGCACCTTGTGTGTTTCTGGTACCTCACACGTTCACATGTCTGGATACGTAAATTTTCCTGCGGTGTTTGATTTTAATAGTTTAAGCTGCCTGGCCGCTGCCCCTCACATGCTCAGGCAGCGGAACTCGGGATGTGCTCTTCTGTAGTGTGTGTAGTGGGCTGTCCTCTCCTGAACTCCGTCACTTTTTCAGCTGCACTCATACAGTGGAAAGTGTCCTATTCTGGCCAAAAAGCATCAGCAGGCCTCAGTTTCATTGCGTGAAGATCCATCGCAGGTGTTTGGATTCAGCCCGGCGCCCTGCCGCCGTATCGTGAGCAGCGAATCCACACGTGGCCTCCAGAACAATGCGGTGTTCCGTGCTGCCGTGAGCCGGTTCTCCGCTCTTGTGACTGGAGCCCAGTTGGAGGCTGCGATCCCTCCTTGGCATTGTGCCGTCCCCCATCCCGAGTCTCCGCCACGCCTGATCTACGCGTTTGTAGAGAGTATCCTCTAGATCAGGGGTGGGCAGTCTTATCCGCAAAGGGCCGGTGTGTGTGCAGGTTTTTGGGATAACCTGTAGGTCAGCTGTTCAAACCCAGGTGTGAGGACTCTTCAGCCAATCAGTCCTCTAATTAGTAATCTAATTAGGGAGCTGCAGCGAAAACCCGCACACACAGCGGCCCTTTGCGGATAAGACTGCCCACCCCTGCTTTAGATACTGGCACGGTGTTTACAGGTGACTCTGGAAACTTGGGGCCCTGTGGACTACCATGGAATTATCTGTGTTTATAAACCATCTCCCCCACCCTTCCCTCCCTGCCTCTCACAGGCCGTCTACATGTTCTACGCTCTCGCCATCATCTGTGACGAATACTTCGTCCCTTCTCTCGAAAAGATATCCGAGGTGAGATTCGGCCCATTCTGCCAGGACAAACGACTTCGAACTTAATATGAGTTCATGTAAATATCGTGAAATACCGACGACTGGTTTTGGAAATGTATGAATCTTGATACACTGCTAGACCGTCTTTGTCACCTGACGCAGGACCAAACGCTGATTTAACAGCGGCTGCTTCTCCAAACGCTGAACGTTTTTGGTATCTACCCATGAACCTGCTACCCGGTCACACTGTTTATCGGTTAAATACAAAGACAGAAGAATTAGTTAATAAACAGACGGTTGTTTAAAGAAAAAATGTATAACAGTTTATAGTAGTTCTGACGCTACCGTGAAAAGTACACCAGTATATTACAATACAATAATATTTAATAGTAGCTGCAAAAACACAAAACGTAAAATATTTCCTCTCGTTGACTTTGTTGCTGTAGTATGGTCTACGTTGTCTCTGGTGTTCGGTCATCTAAAGGGTTTCCGAGGGTCTGTATAAAAAATAAATTGTGTTTCTGGCTCGACCTCTCCAGTGTGATGGAGATACCAGTCACTAGGGTTGCTTGTCAGACCTGGAAGATGGGCTTGGTATGGTTTTACTTATCTGGGTGCTGTTACCGTGACGTCTGTTTTGTAACTCCAGACGAGATATATGTGGCTACCGTCAGTCTCAGATAGAGTATGTCATTAAACACATCTTCTGTACTTCTTCCAGAGATGCTAGACAAAGACACTGTCCTTTATTCCAGTGTCTCCCAGTCTGATCCTCAGGCACACATATTCGGTCCATATTTTTGCTCCCTCCCAGCTCCCTACCAGACAGTCCTACCTGGAGTTAGAAGGGAGCAAAAACGTGGACTGTCTGTGGGGGAGCAAAAACGTGGACTGTCTGTGGGGGAGCAAAAACGTGGACTGTCTGTGGGGGAGCAAAAACGTGGACTGTCTGTGGGGGAGCAAAAATGTGGACTGTCTGTGGGGGAGGAAAAACGTGGACTGTCTGTGGGGGAGCAAAAACGTGGACTGTCTGTGGGGGAGCAAAAACGTGGACTGTCTGTGGGTCCCTGCGGACCGGATTGGGAGGCACTGCTTTACTCTATGACTGCTGCTCTGTCACTGAGACCCTATAGCTGTGCATTATAACGTGTCTCTTTCAGAACTTGCAGCTAAGTCAGGATGTGGCAGGGGCTACATTCATGGCAGCTGGAAGCTCCGCCCCTGAACTCTTTACATCTCTGATTGGTTAGTTCCGTCCAATGCTCTGTCTCTCTCAGTGATTGGCACAGAGTATAAAAGTAGACCGTTCCAGTCATAATTCCTTGTATTTGTTTTCTTAGCAACGTGCTGTTTTTACGTTATTCTGTACTTCACGCAGTTCCACTTTTGTCCAATAGATGTCAGCACAGGCATCAGCCGCGCTTGTGAAGTGCTTTCTGCGGCCTGCTTATGACTTATGAGAGTTTACGTACAACCCAAACTAGATCAGCGCAGGCTCGATCAGATTATAGATAACATATCCACATTTGAAGCGAACAAATACTATATAATGGCAGGAAGGTGACTGTCACATAGCAGATTGACTTCCTGCTGGTCAGTACGGTCGTCTTACCCTTCCAGGGGTGTTCATCACCAAAGGGGACGTGGGAGTTGGGACCATCATCGGCTCGGCCGTCTTCAACATCCTGGTCATCATCGGGATCTGCGGCGTCTTCACGTACCGGGTATGTCCTACACGAGGGACCCCGACTGGGATGTCGCGAATCTCTGTCCTGTGCTATAGAACAGAATAGTGATACCTCGTTCTTTCCTGTGCGGATTTTCTCTTTTTCACGCATCCCATCTTGCTCTCTGTGAGCCACACGGACACATATACTGGTGAGAGGAAGCTTGGGAGTCACAGTATAGGGTCAACCAGTGTGCCCCCCCCCCACCCCCCGGAGCTGGGGATTAAGGGTTTTACTCAGGGACACCATTAGTCTGTCAGCTCCGGGATTTGAACTGCCGACCTTTTGGATCACAAGCAGAGATCCTAACCCACTAATTCACACAATACAAACTTAATTTGTGTGATGCATTAAGGCAGTGGAGGGGAATCTTATCCGCAAAGGGCCGCTGTGTGTGCGGGTATTCGCTGCGACTCCCTAATTATATTACTAATTAGAGGACTGATTGGCTGAGGAGTCCTCACTCCTGGGTTTGAACAGCTGACCTAAAGGTTACCCCAAAAACCCGCACACACACCGGCCCTTTGCGGATAAGATTGCCCACCACTTCATTAGGGTCAAAATTAGTACCGTTTAATTAGTATTCACTGAGAGTTTCTGGAAGCACCGTGATATTATATTATTGGGTCTAAGAAATTCATTAAGGATCTATAATATAAGTCCGTAACATGGCTCGAGGCCCCGCCATTTTGATGATATTATTGACCCTGACGGGTCTGCTCGTCCAGGGGGTATGTCCAGAGGCGGGGTCACAGGGGCATTTGCCCCAGCTGAAAGCTGATTGGCCCCTGGAGTGCCCCTCCTCTGTCACTCACCAATTCCAAACATATCATTGGCTAATAGTACGTTTGGCCTCTCTTATGTCTCCGCATTAAACGATCCTAGAATAACCCCTGTGCTCCTCACAAGCCAATCATCTTGCTAGATGTTTAAGCCCCGTATTGCCTGCTCTCTCCCTGTAGACCATCTCCCTGACTTGGTGGCCCCTGTTCCGGGACTCCCTCTTCTACTTATTCTCAGTGGTAGCCCTCATCCTGGTGAGAGCGACATAACCCTTTGCATATGTGTTATTTTGTAATCATTACTACACAGAATGGGATGTACCATTCAGCCGGGTGGGTGTGTTTGTCGATGCCATTAATGTTATTTTCAGTGTTGGGGATGTGACCCACAAAATGAATCTATTACAGACACATGTGGGTAGTTCAGGTCCAGAATGTGTAAATACAGACCAAGGTGCATATCACACTGACGTATACCAAACCATTTGGTGTCCTTAGCTAACTGAATTTAATAAACATAAAGATACACAAGTTTATACAGATTTCTAACTTTTGGGCGTCACAAAAGTTCAGGCATCCCATTGATATTTTAGGCGCACTAACTAATCTGCTTAACAAATTGTGGGCGTAAATATACGTCCGTACAGTGCCGAAAAACTAGAGTCCGGCCAAATGATTTGCCCGTCATCTGAAGCCTTGGTGATTATTGCACATGCGAGATATAATATCAATGTGATATCGCCCAACCCAAGGGTGCAGTAGATGGTAGAGGATATATATGAGCTTCATGCTGTCTCGTGTTTCCATAGGTGGTCTATGACGGGAGGGTGGTCTGGTGAGTATCGTCGCCGAGCTCTCGTTGGGTGTAAAGACGGTTGGGGGCGGGTAATGCCTCATCCAAGAGAGCCATTTGCGGATACAGGAGTCGACGCCCCCACACCCGCCCGTTCACAGCCTCCATGTTTGACCATCCTCTGTTTCACCCCCCCCCCCACCCCCATCATAGGTGGGAATCTGTGCTGCTGGTCACCATGTATGGCTTCTACATCCTCATCATGAAGTGAGCGCCCAATCATTTACAGCCACACACTTAGGGGTGGGGCAGTGGGAGGAGCAAAGGATAGTGGGCTGGCCAGAGGGGCCGTGGGGGCGGGATTAAGGGAATGCTCTCATTGGTAGTTTTGTATCATGTGATCCAGTGGTCAGCAGGCATCATCTGAGCTTCTTGAAGCCACACTAAGGTCTCACCCTGCATCTCGACTGTAGCATATATAGCCTTTTTTCACGCAAACCAAACTGGGTGTAACAAACACACAAACACAAAAAATGGAACATTAGTGGTTAAGGAACTGGCTTTATGAGCAGCTGTGAACACAAATGTGGCATTTGTTGTGCCTTTGACAGGTACATTAAGATGCTTCAGTAAAGATCCATCTGTATAAACACCTTTCATATGCTGATGAGCTACATTAATAGCATATGCCTCCCTACTTAAAAGTCTAACGTGTTACTGGAAATTTTGTACATTTGACACACAATTACTCCTTATTTCAAAGAGAAAATTTTAAGCACAAAATTTAATGAGATGAGAATCTATGGAGAGCAATGGAAGCAGTGATGCAGAGATAGCTACTGCGGACCAGAACAGGGCTCGGTGATGCTAGCGGACATTGTTTATCGGGAGGGAGACTGACGTGCGTGTCTGTTTATCCGTGGCGTGAACCGCACCTTTTAGGTTCAACAGCAGGATCTTTGGGATCGCGGAGCAGCACTGCGGGAGACCCGGCTCGTCCTGCGGGGGGAGCGACCTGCAGGATGATGGCGTGACAGCCGACAGGGGGGCCAACGGCGACTTCTCCTCCATCCTGCTGAGGAAAGGTAGGCGTGACGGCGGTCGAGGGTTCGGCATCATTAGCGCGGCAGATATCCGCCGGCTGACGGGCGTTCCCCCCTCGGCCAGCAGGGGGCGAGTCGGCGGCCGAGGCCCCTGTGGTGATGGTGGACGAGCTCCTTAGAGCACACCCCCGGCAGATCTCCTTCTCCGAGGCCAGCATGCGTGTGATGATCACAGGCCACTTCTGCCCGCGCACCCGCCTGGTCATGGCCAGCCGCCTACTCATCAATGAGGTCAGCAGGGGGCGCCATAGTTAGTGGAACTGTAGTACTCTGGTAGTAAGTTTTAGTATAGTTATTAGTATAGTAGTGCCGCAGTAGTTAAGGGACTGAAGCTCTCATCGCAGGAAACATATTCCTTTATGAACTAGGTTTCTTAAATACTTACAATATACATTATGTTGCTGTGTAGGTTAATAAAAATGTAAAAGGTAAAACCAATAAGCTTGTGAAAAAATAGACATTATAACTCATCATAATTCAGACCAAACCTGTAATAAAGATGAATGGATGGGGCTAAAAATATTGTAAATACATTTTTTTCAAAGACAAAAATGTATCAGTGCTGATGTTGGAAGCGAGGGGTTGATGGAGTGTTTTTCTGCTGTTTTTGGAACAAGAAAAAAAAAACTATTCAGGGATTTTGGCACTGACGTGAGGATTTGCAGAAAGTGTTCCTTCATTGCTGTCTGACGCCCTGCAGCATTTTTTTTGGGGGGGGGGGCAGTTGTGGGATTGTGTTAGACCCAAACTGAACATTCCTGGAATGCGCTGGAAGCATCAGACAGCAACGAAAAGAAAAGGTTTTAGAACCCTTGGTCGTATAATGCTCCACCCGAATGCTGTTCTCTCTTTCCCTGTCACTACGGCAACAGAGGCAGCGGCTGTCCCGGAACTCTGCGACCGGCAATGGGGGGGTCGTCGCAGCCAAGGGTGTAAACCAGGGGGGCGGAGGCGGCAGCCTCCCAGAGGCCGCGAGGCAGCCTCCAGAAGAGGCAGGGGATGCGGAGAGGGCCCAGAGCAGATCGAAGGAGGAGTTGGTTGCCGAGGGCAATGGAGGGCCTGTGGAGGCAGAGGAACATGATGAACAAGAGGAACTGTTCAGCCCCTTTAAGATTCCCAGTGAGTGTCACACTGGGGGGGTCAGCCCTGCCGGCGTGATGCTGCGGGGCTGTCAATGGTAGCTGGGTAGGCGGCTGCCTTTCTGGGAGCTACATGGACATTACATGTGACACTGGTGACATTTTCCATTGTCCCACACAACACTCTGTGTGCTACCTGTGACAAGGGAGGCCGTTCACTATTTCCCGAAATTCAGATCTCTGCAGATTCCCGTTCAAATAGATAAGAAACACTTTCATTTTAAAGGGTCACATTTTGCTTAGTGTCTTATGCACTACTGTGGTAGTAAGTTATAGTATAGTGATTTCTATAGCCTATTAAAATAGTTAATAGTATAGTACAAAAGGGTCACATTTTGCTGAGTGTCTTATGCAGTGCTGTGGTAGTAAGTTTTAGTATAGTGATTAGTATAGCCTATTAAAATAATTATTAGTGTAATACGAAACGGTCACATTTTGCTGAATGTCTTTTGTAGTGCTGTGGTAGTAAGTTTTAGTATAGCGATTAGTGTAGCATATTAAAATAGTTATTAGTATAGTATGAAAGGATCACATTTTGCTGAGTGTCATTTGTAGTGCTGTGGTGGTAAGTTTTAGTATAGTGATTAGTGTAGCATATTAGAATAGCTTAGTATAGTAAGAAAACACCATGGGAAAAAAAAAATGTTTTGTGTTATTTTCATGTGACAGGGCCAAAGGATACTTAAGTTGCATGACCTTTGCATGACTGTGTGCACTCCCCACCACAGGAGGGCGCTGTGATTGCATAAAGTGGCTGGTATCCTGGCCCCTCAGGCTGCTGCTCTACTGCACTGTGCCCAACTGCGTGGTCCCGCGATGGCGCCGCTGGTTCATGGTCACCTTCGTGACCTCCACGCTGTGGATCGCAGTCTTCTCCTACCTCATGGTGTGGATGGTAAGAGGGCTCCGTCAGACGGCTCTGCCCAGGGTCGCCTGGCCTGTACCAAGGGTTCAGCGTACAAAGATGGTTTAAACTAATCCATGTGGAAAGTACATATGCAATATGTACATATGCATATGCAACCTGTCAGGACTGGGAATATAGAGGAGTAACATGCTATCATATGGTTAGATTTCCTTCTGGTCTGCAGACCTCCGTATGTTATTTAAAACTAGCCAACCACATAACAACATAGCAAAGAGCTTATTAGTATTCTTGAATCTGATTGGTTAGAAGGATGTTGCTTCATTTTCTATAACCACGCAAGTAGTGCCAGCCAGGCGAATCACAGTAGTGAATCAGTGTGCGATCTTTAATTCTAATTAACATCAGGGTGTACTCACACTTGGCCTGGCGGCCTTGTACCCTGGCTAAGCACGGTTGTTTCCCCCGTGCGCCCCCTGCTGGCCTGCGCTCACATTGCGGTTAATGTTAAGTTAAATCTTAATTATTCATAGTTATACTATAAAGTTTACAGTTCGACCATGAATGTTTTATAGTAGAACTGTGAAGTCTTGTTTTACTTTGAAGTTCACCGTCACCCGTTCTGCTGTTTAATAATTCTGACAGTGAAGTTTAGGGTTTGTAGGTTTCACAGTAGAAACATGAAAAGTCTGCCAATTCACTGTAAAAAATTCAAGGTGAAACTGTGAAAGTACATAGTAAAACTGTCAAGCAAGTTTACAGTTTTACTATGAAATTGCACAGTGCATTTTTTCCTGGGTGATGACATGTGGCCTTCTTATAGATTTGGAGTTTGCAATGCAGTGGAAACTGAATGTTTAATCGTTGGCAGAAGAAAGTAGTTCTACTAATAAATGTGTTTTCGGCTCTTAAACGTGAAAAATATTGTCTTTAGGTGTGAACCTGTAAGCCGAATGTGTAGTAACTGTGCATCATACATTTTTAAATGCACTACTTGGACGAGCAGGTCCAAAAATGGTGTGATATTTGAAGACAGGCCAGATACTGTGGAGTAAAACTCACTGGTGTTTATTCACCAGTACACCCGGGGTCCTAAAAATGGCAACTGAGAGAAATAATTGGCGTTTGAGATGCAGGCATTGTCACGGACACCTAAAGGTTTTAATGAGGGCCAGTGACGGCACGGCCTGTGTCTCTGCAGGTCACCATCATCAGTCTCACACTCGACATCCCCGACTTCATTATGGGCATCACCTTCCTGGCCGCCGGCACAAGCGTGCCCGACTGCATGGCCAGCCTCATAGTCGCCCGCCAAGGTGCCTGCATTTTTTTTTTCTAATCTTTCAGCATTTTTTGTGTTATCTTGTCATGTTTTTCTCCACTCACTATTTGCCCTCTATACGGACACCAAGCTTTCTATGTGGATCTGGTGCCACGCAGGTGGTCCCTGCAGATGTCAGCATGATTCAGAGGAATTATGGGTAAATGATGGGCAATTAATAGTTACAAAGATGGTCCTTTAGGCTCCGTTTGGTGCATAAAGGACACTGGACTCCATGAAGCATTGCATGATACCAGTTACATGATTTCAGGATTTTACATTCAGTTTACTTGTATCCTGACGAAACCAGCAATTCCTTTTCATCTTCTGTAGAGGACGGTATGTTTTTTTGCTCATATCTCTTTGGGCTTTAAGATGACATCACACGTGACATCACACGCGTGGGATCTTGCCAACTTCCTCCTCATGTCAAATTAAAATTTTAATCGATATTAAAACAAAAAACTTTTTTCCTTGGATCTCAGGTAGACATAAAATAAACTGCTTGTGGTGATGCATAATTCTTGAAATTAACATTGTGATCTGTGTCTATAGTAACGCACTACAACAAAATACATTTGTAAAAAGCATATATAAAAATCAGTCTTTTTTGAAGGTCAGCATTTGCCTTCCTTGTCTCCCTGTTGTCCCCGGTCCCCGGGATCCAGGCCTGGGGGACATGGCAGTGTCCAACTCTATAGGAAGCAACATCTTCGACATTCTCCTGGGGCTGGGCTTTCCCTGGGTATTACGCACCCTGGTGGTAGATTATGGAACAGCAGTAGGTACCATCGTCTCCTTGCGTGATTCCTTTATCTCCCTTCTTCCTCCGATTTTTCTTCATCTTGTGTTTACATTTTTTAATTCAGTGATTGCTTCTTAAGGGATGCATACTCAGAGTGGGAAAAAAAACTTGTCAATACAAATAATGTTGTAGAATCCAGAGGGTAATTTATTTCTGTTCTACTTCTCTTCATTTTCACACACTGGTGCTGAAGCATCTCACATTTCCATGTCATGAGAGAGAAAGAGAGAGAGAGAGAGTTCAGTCTGGTGGACAATTAGCTGCTGTCGAATAGAGTGGCGTCTCTACGCTCTCTGAGCGTAACGTTAACTGAGATGCCCACAGTTAACACCTGCTTCGTTCTTCCTGTGTGACGACTTTCCGTTCCTCTGCGTCGAATCGCCCGTCAGTCTAAAAATACATCGCACTCCTCTTTTTAAAGTTTCTCATATTCATTCATCACTTCCAGTAATGACATTAATTTTATTCTGCATTGTATTCACAAAACACATACGAAGAATTACGTTTATGCCTCGTTTTGGAAAATATTGGGCATTTGCATAGAAATGAGCTAGTAACTGGACTGAATAAGAAAGAGCGGATCAGTTAGGCCAATGCGAGACAGAACCCTAATCCTGGGATGGAGAGATGGGGGATGATTGGTGAACCACAAAACATGGTGCTCAACAGGCTTGTAGGGCTGAAAGCCTTAAGGCAGTTTGTTTATTGCTGTTTAGACCTTAATTGGGTCGGATCTCATGCTTACGGCTTAGTCTTGGCATGTTGTCTCTCTGCCATTGTAGGTTTCCATCAAGAACAAGGGGTTGGTATACTCCGTCATCCTCCTCCTGGCGTCTGTCTTTCTTACGGTAAGTTTCGCTGGCGCCCGTCAGCTCGCCCAGGTCATGGGTAAAGAGGTGCGAAGGTTTCAACGCGTTTCCATGGCGACTCTTTCCCAAAACACTAAGCGCGCCGCGCGACGGTCATCCCCGTGAAGCGCGGTGAGATGTCGACAGTAGGGGGCAGCAGAGTCACGGCTGGGTGTCAAAAAAGCTAGAGTTTCGCCGTTTCAAGCCCAAGCCTCAATATCTTCACAGCGTCACTTAAAATGGATTTTCGTAATTTATGTGATTACCTTGTGAGATGCAGGACAGGGATTCAGCTTTGGGGGGCGCTAGTGAGATTTCATTTGTAGTAACCTCAGCATAACTTCCATGCTTGTGTAGCTGAATTAGTATCAGTTGAATGACCTTTTCTATGATGCCCCTACATCCCCCCATCTGTCCCTTCCCCACTCTCTTTTCCTTTTCTGGTTTCATTCCCATAATTCAATGTTTTTCCCTCCTTTGTAACCCCCTCTTCATCCCTGCCCCCCTGTACGTGCTTTACACTGAACCTGCCACTCATCCTCATATGTCTCCATGGAAACCCCCCCCCCCCCTCCCCAGGTGTCAAGTGTCCATCTGAACCACTGGAAGCTGGACCGCCGCCTAGGCTTTGGCTTGCTCTTCCTCTACGCCATCTTCATCCTTTGCTCCATCATCCTGAACGTACAGTTATGACGTGGCGATCGGGACGGCGTCAAGGAACGGAGCCCCGTTCCCAACATATAGGGGGCGTCTGTGCTCATACGGACGCATCGGCATGGACACAACCGGGACCCAGCATCTCTGTGTCACCTCATGAGAGCAGACTGACCTGGAGCGGCTACCAAAAGACGCTCCAGCGGGCCAGCAGGCTGGTCTGGGCTGCTGTGGCTGAATGTGGGGCAGGTTCTGGTCCTTCGACCCCAATGAGATTTTTTCAGTCTGACATCACATTGTGGCAGGAATCCTTAATAAGAGGATCATGAAGAAATTTTTATGTTTCAGACACTTACCTCAACTCAATAATGGCTGACAGTTTAGGTCAGACTGCTTACGAACATGGGCGCCGGTAGGTCCAATCACTTGGGGCTATTGCCCCAAGAATTTTAGCCCCAATGCCAACAAAAAAAGTCAAACCCCGTGTAAACTTGACTTAGTCCCTGATGTGTTCAATAGAAACGCCCCTGCTGATGAATATTACCAGAGGTGGGTAGTTCAGGTCCAAAAAGTAAAAATCCAGACCAGGATTTCGTTTCAACCAACCAGTTGAGTAATCTGTGACTGTGACTCTTTATACTGGTTGGTTGAAACAAAATCTTGGTCTGGATTTTTAATTTCTGGGCCTGAACTATTCACTTCTGAATATTACAGTATACAAAGTATTACAAACTAAACAAGCAAAACCCTTACACCCATTATAATCACATTTCATTTTTATATCTTTGATATTTGATAGATTTGTCTATATTTAGAGTGTTGGCACTTTCCATATATATATATATATATATGAGGTTCACTGTGTTTTGGTATAAAAAGTGTAAATCAAATGCCACTATATATTTATTTGTATGTCGTGTTTTAAAGACTGATTTATGTAAAACATATTGTGGGAAAGAGCCAAGATGATTGTTATTTTTAAATATATTGTTTTATTTTTGTGCTGTCTCTGCGAAATTTCCTTAAATATAATTCTGTCACATTAATACTTGTGCATTGTGAAATAAATTAGTGCAGCCACTGAGGCAGAACACAGGTGTTACGTCAGGGTTAAGTGGCCCTTAATACCGATCACACCGATGTGGTGAAAACTCACTTTTTAAATGGAAAGTGTTTTTTTTCCTCAGTTATTGACCACTATAGCTAATGATAGTATTGAATTCTGTGGGGCAGAAGGAACAATGATTGGTTTAGAGAGATAACCAATCAAATTGTAGAGGAGGTGGGTCCAACCAAATAGATGTCTTGGTCCTGCCAGCTCTACTTGCTTGCACACACCTCTACAATCTGATTGGTTATCTCTCTAAACCAATCATTGTTCCTTCTGCCCTCAGAACATTTCTGTATAAGTAAAACTCCCAAGAGCAGTTCACACATCTGTGTTCCTGCCGAGTTAAATCTGGGTTAAACGGATTTAAACGGCGGAATTTGACCAGCCCCTTGCTGTCTTCAGGTTCAACTTATGAAATAACAAATCGAGCCCCCAAGCTCTTCCCTTCATGTGCACAAAGCGGCTTTTATGGTTTGAGTTGTTGGGTTTGTGCTAAACACACAAAACATAAGCACATAACTTGACCTGAATTTCTTCTGTAAATAGCTGACTTTATGATATTAAATGTAAAATATATGTCAGGTGCGTGAACAGTCAGTCAGTGAAGGGTCCCTGTCAGGTGGATTAGATTTTTTCTTTGACATTTTCTGTTCCTGTACTTCTTGTTTACCAAATATTAAAAGACTGCAGAAAATAAAAAAGCTGATTCTTAGTAAGTCACATTGGGTTTTTCTGTCTGTCATGTGACAATAGTCATGTGACAATAGTCATGTGACAATAGTCATGTGACANGTCATGTGACAATAGTCATGTGACAATAGTCATGTGACAATAGTCATGTGACAGACAGAAAAAAGCTGATTCTTAGTTAATTGACGTTGGGTTTTTCTTTCTGTCATATGACTTGTCACATGACTACTGTGACATAACTTCTGTATCCATGTTAATTGGTGTTTAGTACGACGCTTGCAGATGTTTGTGCAATAAAACAGAGTGTGTGAAACTGCTTGGTATTGGTCCCGTGACATTTTGAATGTTTTGGAGGATGGTAAGCAGCGTGTTAAACTAAAACCTTAATAAACTATTGATTCCATCTTGCTCTCCATGAGATACAGACACATATATAAGTGACAACAAGCTCACCAGTAGCACCCATGGAGTTTGGGGGGCCGGCCACATAGGTCTCAGTCAAGGGCCCACAGGTGTGGCTATTCGGCCAAAGCCAGGTTTGAACCAGCAACCTTCTGATCAATAACACAGAGGCTTAGTCCACTGAGCCACACACCGTCCCCTTTCCGATGTGTCTCCAGTATTTACCTGATGGTCTTACATGGCTTTGAGGACAAACACATGCAGCGAACAAAGGAATAATAATAGGGAAATAAAAATACTCCAAACTCCGTAGCAGGGGCAAAAATAAATAAATTGCATGTTGGTTTTACAGAGCAGCAGTAGAGTCCCAGTCGCCGTGCCAACGCCATAGGTGACTCCCACAGCAGGACAGTGGGGAGGTGACTCTGCCATTTGTGTAAGTGTGCTACGCCGGGGGAGGGGGGGGGTTGTAGATAAATATAAACAAGAGGCCATGTTTGCCCTGCCGGGGGTTCATCATCAGTCAGGGAGACACTGTGCAGCCCCCTGCTCACTCCCCCAGGCACGGTAAGCCGCAGAGGCTGCGTGAGGTCCTCTTTGCCATTCTTGGAGAGGAGATGTGTGGTAAACATGCGCGTGCGGGTGAGAGAGAGGACTAGGCGGCAGTCGGGAGGCAGAGGATGATAAAACCACAACTATGCTACTTAAGTAAATAGATTGTTGCAGTGACACTGCACAGTGAGAGGGGTGGGGGATGGGGCAGGTGAACGATGCAGCACAGCTACGGGAATTTGTGCGACGGAGGCTTTATGTGCGCAGTGGCGTCTCGTACCGCTGCACGCTGCGTACCACGCGGACATACGTTATGATGTCACAAGGACAGTGTGCATTATGATGTCATAAAGCAGTCTGCAGCCAATCAGATGGGCTGAGGCTGCTGAATGCAGTTGCCATGGAGAATGAGGCCGGAAAGTGGCCGGGGGGCAGTCCGAATATGCGTTTCTCAAGGGCGGGTACAGACCCAGAGTCTAATCTGGGATGAGCCTGGGATTTTTTATCAAAAGTCAAAAGCTGTAAACATTATCTGTAACTGAGATGCATTCTCCCCACAAGGGGGCAAGGGGGGGCTGTGTCGGATGGCTTACATCACATGATAGCGGGTAGCAGTTTCCGTTGTTGACGTGCCTAACCTAATTTCATCCGGAAAAAAATCTGCTGTACAAAGGGAAAAATGCAATTGCTTTGGACAAATACATGGATTTGAATTCCCTTTTTTTGTCATCGTACACAGTACAATGAGATTCAATTCGAGGACAGTGCCTGGATGCCTCTGGATGCACCGCCATCTTCAAATACTGATCTCGATTAATAATAATAATTGTATGGATATTACAGAGCTACATTCGGTAGCAGGGTAAAAAAAAAACAAAAAACGGCCAAGCAAAGAATGTAGGAAGACGGCGATATCTAGGTCCGGCCCGACCCAGGGGTGTCGGTGGGGGCACGGATACAGGGGTCCAGGACTTGACAGGGGCCCTTGAGTACATAAAATTATACGTAACATTGGACGGGGCCCCTTATAGGCAGAATAAGCTGTTACCAAGGGCCCCCAAATTACCTGCGGAGGACGTGAAATTTTCTAGGTAGGGGCGACTCCTAAGTAAAGCTTTATCTGGGGCCCCTGGAAAGGTGGGGGCAGCCCTGATGATATCAGTAGATAAGTAGATCTACTATAGAGAGCAAAAGACCTACTAGGAGGTACCTAAGAAAAAAAGCTTCCAGACCCAGTGGGTGGGAATATTAGAAGCAGTCCATCATGTTTACAATTAATTTCTTTATTCGTTTTCGCCAGGCAGATAACTGACAGGTGCCAAACTGGATTTGGACACGCACAGGAATTCCAACTGGTGTCTTTAAAACGAACAAATAAACAAGCAGATGCCGTAAAGCGCAGAGACCAAAACTCACGGCACCAGCCTTGAACTAAAAGAGACACGCCCTCGGCATGGGCTTCCTGACGTGCCGGGTCGACTCACCGCTTCCCCGCAGTGCTGAATGCGTGTACAGCAGCGCAGTGTGCGTACCCGGGGGGGGGGCGAGGGCGGGTGCCAGGGCGTCGATTGGCTGTCGGTGACTCCCGCTTGAGTGAAAGCAGAATGGGCTGCGGAGAAGCAGAGATTACCGTGTGTTTGCCCAGGCTGTCAGAGCGCACAGTCAGGTCCATACCGTGCCCCCCCATCTACGTCCACCGGGCCCCCATCCACTTAACAAACAACCTCCGAGATCCTGGCTAACTGGTCGACGGGAGCCCAAAGCCGGACTCTGACTCAGGAGTGAGTCATCAGCGTGGAGGGACTGGCGGGGGCGATGACTCCGTGCGAGCCACATCTGCCGGTGTGAAAGATATCCATGCCACGGCGTGTATATTTACCAAACCTTCACAGAGGAGGAACTAGTGGTTAATGTACGTTCCACATTTACAGGACGCCTCGCCGCGCACTCTTCCAAGCCCGGAAAAGGCGCAGGTGCCAGATGCAGATTCACACGGTCACGGTGAAGAAATGCATGAGGAGGCGTCTCCGTTTGCGGTCCCATGCGCTGAGCTCACGGACCGGTATCTTCTGCGCAAGCTGGATAAACAAATTTTGGCGGACAAGGAAATTTCATGCTGTAAAGCAGCATAGTGACGGAGATTCGAAAAGGATCAAGTTCCATAAGGAGATGTGTTACTTTGGATAAAAGTATTAGCTAAATAATAAATATATGACCAACAGAACTGTTCACCTAATAATATTAATGTAGCCCAATAATCCATCCATCCATCCTTCACAAAGTTTATACCATGTGGAGTTACAGTTACTCTGGAGCATTTGGTCACTGGTAGGATGCAGAGGCCGTGTTAAGCCGGCACCTTGAAGTTCCGTACTTCTGGTACTTTTATGATGTACCAAAAGTCCGGTACCTGGTGCAGTGGAAAAGCAGCCTATGTGTGACCGTTGTCCTGGGGGACATGATTTCAAGCCACTGTATACCTGTATATGGACGACATGGCAACTGACTTGAACCACGTAAACCACACAATTTTGGCCCTTGAGAAGAAGATCAATGCCAAAACAGGAAGAACACTGAAGCGTTGGAGATGTGACCCTACTGAGCACCACAGCGTTAATCCGCATATAAACGCGAAAGGACCCTCTGGTAAACGTTACTCGGAAAGTTTGGCGGTATTGTAGCCGCCTGGAGGCCGGGTGGGCGGAGCTCTGCCGTTCCAGTGCCCCGGGTCCTGGATTTTTCCGGCTTCTTGTCGCTATGGCCTGCTGAAACAGGAGCGTGGCCGTCACCGACTCAGGGTGAAGGAAGACAGACCCCCTTCCCTCTTGCGACATCAAAAGGGATCCAGAGGGTAAGGAAAGCAGCCTCATTGGCATGCCTGCCACCCAACCCCCCTGGGTGCCAACCTGCCGTCCCTGTAAGTGGCAGTGCCACCATGCCACTGCGATCCGTTATGAGAAGCTCCTCCACGCCGCTTACAGGGGTGACACGGCACTGGCTGTCCACCGACGAGCAGCCGGATGTGAAAATACACACGCCAGTGTAACATTTTGTATCCCTTCGTGGGTAAGCATTGGGTTATCTGTGCCATTTTGGCCCCAGTCTGGACCATAGAAATCACAGTTTCATTCTATTATCATGGGGACACCAACAAACGCTGGATTAACTGAAGAGAAAATATGTCCACCTGTGTTGATGATACTCAAACCCTACCTTTAGCCATTAGCCACTACATGATTAGATTATACCACAATATCATACCAGGGAACCTTCATCCAGGGGATCCTAGTCTTTTTGGGGGTACATAATTCATAAAGGGGCCAGCCTCATTATTAGCCAATGATGTGGTTTGAATCGGTGAGTGACAGATGAGGGGGCCAATCAGCTCTCAGCTCGTGCCCACATCCCCGTGGTTTCTCTCAATGCAGAGGAGCGCAACCAAAGCCTACCAGAGCAGACGTGAGGCCTGTAGCTTACTCATTAACTCACCCAACAAGTCGCTCTCAGCTTGTTAACAGCCAAAGGCAAACATGTGTCACCAATAACAGCCGCGAGAGGGCCACGCGGAAAACAGCGTTACGTCCGCTTACCATATGTTCCTCCACCCCACCCCACTCCCCCCCAGGACCGATCCCCACGGTCAGCGCTGTAACAGCCGTATCCTCACATTTTTGCCATCTCCCGAATCCTGAACTCACCTTTCTCCTGGCAGCCTTATCTCTTCCCAGTCAGCCACTTAATTTTATTATTATGCACACACACCCCAACCCCGGCCTCTTTTTTTTTTTATCTTTGCCCGTGCAGGAGAAGCCATTTGTAAACATGACGGCAATTGCAAAAGAACCCCGTAATTAATTTCTCAGCTTCATTTCAATAAACAAATTTTTATAGTGTGTCCTGTACGATAAGGTGGCACTCAATATTTTTTTACAGCACTCCTAAAGCCATACGCCTAATTTTTATTTCCGCTGAGGACATTTTAAGCAAAGACAGGTTACGGGACGGCAGACACAAAATTAGTTTATATAAATACTAAACGGATTACGGGAAACGTGCGAAAATATTTTTCTGAAATGGTAGCGAAATTAATCCGGGTGTTATGGAGTGACGTGTCAAGGAAAAGTTTCGCGATCGTACTGACCCCGGTGCCTTCGAGGGGCTAAAAAAAAAACGACACCCCTCTTTTGCCTAACAAACCTCACATGCAAGGGACCATCCTTCCATCCGCACAGGCGCGGGCACCTAATTGCACCTCTAACCACGTGACAGCTGACGCGGTCCGCCCGGGATTTCCAGGATAATAAAGGTCTGCATGGTACCGATGTTTAACATACATACAATTATGTTTCG